TATTAAGATTTTTTATTTACTAAAAGCCTTTTTGTTTATTAAAAACTTTTTGTTTATTAATAGCTTTTTTGTTTATTTAAATAATTTTTATTTATTAAAAATCTATTTGTTTATTAAAAACATTTTGTTTATAAAATAATTTTTATTTATTAACCTTTTTGTTTATTAAAATAATTTTTATTTATTAAAAGTCTCTTGTCTTTTTGTTTATTAAAAAATTAGATGATAAATATCTTTACTCTTATTTTAAAATTTTAAAATTTATACATTTGTGAGCCAGGCTGGGCTAAAAATTTAAATTAATTAATGTGGGCTAGGCCAAGCTGGCAAAAAATTTTTAACCCTAATTACAAGTGGGTCTGAGCTGCAAATTTAGGAATTTGTAGGCCTTTACTAGCTATATTCTCTATATAGAAATAGCAAAGGATATGCTAAAGGATTATATGCACTATATAATTCAGATATTCTTTCTAATTCATCATTGTGTCTTACAATAACAATATCTTTTACATGTATATTTTTATTAGACCAACAAATTGCAGCTACTTCATCAGTCTGTAGTGCATTATATTGTTTCATATCTTTGCCATACTTATTATATATTAAAATATAATAAATATTTTTTTTTAGATCTTCATTTCCTGCAAATATATAATTTTGTACAAAAGGATTTAAATCTATTAATACACATTGGATATTAATTATTATATCCCTGTTTAATGCTTGCTTTATTACATTATGTCTTCTATTAATTTGTGCTTCAATATTGTTAAAATCATAAAAATATATTTGGAAAAATTTTAGTATTCTCCCTTGTTCTGACAAATATGAGCTAATTTGATGATAATAGTCACCCTGAATTCTATAGCTATAAGTCTTCTTTTTTTATTAGCAAAATCTAAATCTAAATTTGTAGTAATTGATGTAAAAACAAATATTTGATTATATGGGCTGCCGTCAATAGAAATCAGGCAGATCTACATTTGAAAAAAAATTAATGCCTTAACTTTCACAGCTCATATCTCGATGAATTTTAAAGCTATCGTGATATTTTAATATTTAAATAAAAGCTTACGATCTAAGCTTTATTTTAAATAATAAAGCATCAAGATATCTTTAAAATTTATCGAGATATGAGCTATGAAAGTTAAGGCATTGATTTTTTTTCAAATGTAGATCTGCCTGATTTCTATTGACGGCAGCCCATATGCTTTTATTTTGTTAACAAATAGTACTTTAGATATTGGATTTTTTTCTAATCTTAAAGCCCCACAATGTTTATATTCAATATCCATTTTCCCCATACTATGCCCTATTGTTCTTTTTATTATCCTCATCATCATTATCATTATTATTATTATCATCATTTTCACTATCATCCCCACCATCATCCTCATCATCATCTCTATCATCATCTCTATCATTATCTTCACTATTATCTTTAACCTCTTCCTGATAATCATCTAAACTACAATATTCTATTTTATGAAATTGTTCAAATTGTTTTTCTTTTTTCTTTTCATATGCTTTTTTTCTTTTTTTTAAAATTTTTTTTTTTTGCTTCACTTAAAGAAGCTCTATAATCTCATTGTTTATCTTTTTGACCTTTTTTTGTTTTTGCTTTTGAGTCTAATGATGCTTTAGAAGTTTGAGATCGTTCTTTTTAGTAATGCATATATTTAGCTTGTCTTCTTCTTTTTAATCTATTTTTTCTATCTTTTTTAGATTCATTTTTAGGTGCTGCATATTCTCTTAAAATATAATCAGAAATAGGTTTTTTTTCTTTTTTCTCTTTCTTTTCTTTCTTTTTGGTATTTTCTATCTCAATAAAAAAAAATTGTATAATTTATAAATAAAACAAAATATTTATTAAATAAATAATATAAATTTTTAAAATTTTTGCTTTAATTGTAAATTTTTTATCTCTTTTTTAAATTTTACATATTTTAATAAATTTATAAATTTAATATTAATTTATAATATTTTGTTAAAATTTCTATTAAACTTACTATTATTTAGTTTATTTATTATATTTCTAAAACCTATAATATAATAATTTATTAATTTAATTAATTTAACAAAAAATTAGTATAAAAAATTTAACAAAAATTATTTTTATTTTTTTTTTAATAAAAAAAGATTAAAAAACATTTTTTCCAAAGGTTTGATACAATACGTATCTATAGGTTACATGAATTTTGATATGTTATACTAATTTTGGTACATTATACTAATATATTACATTATACCAATTCATAACGTTTTGCCAATTTTATCTATTTTTATCTATTTTTTTTTTTTTTTTATTCTTTGACAGTCTTGCCAGTGCTCAATTTATTTAAGACTATATTTAGATGAGAGTTGAACTCTCTTAAACAATACATATCATTCATAACCATAAAAGGCATCTAGTGATTGTGAGCCTGATATCACCCAGCTGCGATTAACGTGCCCAAATGTGACTTGTCACACCAACCTGTATACAAGTTAGATAAACTTTGTCAGCCTATCAAAGCTTTTCCCTTCATATTCTCTTTCTTTACTGAAAGCAAAAGAAAGTGATAATCTTATATCCAATACAAAACCACTAATAATACCAAGAAAACAAAATTAAAAACTAACTAAAAAAAAAAACAAATAGAACGAAGGAGAAATTTTAAAGGAAAAAATAAAAGGAGTACAATGAAATGTAAAAAAAGAAAATCAAAGAGAAAAGCCTGAGAGCCAACAAAGAAGAAACTACCTCTATTAAGAAATAGTACAAATAGAATGAAAGAAAAGAAAAAACACACTATTATAACCCATGCCAGGTTCAAAAAAAAATTTATAACAACTGCAACATTTGTATATCTCGACTACAAAATCTAACAAATTATTATCTGACTACTGACCACCTCCGGATGCCTCTTATGCCAGAGACCTGATCCCAGTCACGTGGAGGTCCCATATCCATAGACTATGTTGTGTCACATATCCACCAATAAACAAGGCACATGGTTGCATTCCTGGGTATGTTCAAATTTGGGAAATAAACAATGCTAATCTTTTGGAGGGAATAAGCCAAATCACCCACTTTTTGTTAAAAATTTTGAAGAAGACCGACAGGACCAAGAGAGACTTAAAGAAAAGACTACTAGCACCCAAAGAGAGTATTTTATCCTTGAAAGAAACAATAACTAGTAACCTTTTTTTCAGGAAAGAGGAGGAGCTACTGTACTTTAACGGTAAGTGATAAACTCTGAACTTGTTGGCAAGTAGCATATGAGAACTACTTCTAAATGACAAGTGCTGTAATTTTTATCTATTTATTTTTAATTATTAATTAATTAATTAATTAATTAATAATTAATTTTTTTTAAAAAGTACATACTACGTACATGGTTACGTGACTCCGATTTTGGGTTACCAACCATTTTTATGAGAATTTGAATTTCCATATGTCACATGACTTTATCATTTGATCAGAGTTTGAACTTCTTCAATTTCGCAGGAATGCAAAATCTGAAGTTATGTAACTTTGTCAGAGTTTAAATTTTTTCTCTTTTGCTTCTATTTGCTTTGCTTTCTTTTACTTTGCTCTTTATTTTTTTCTTTCCTCCCACTCTCACCTTCCTCATTCCTCTTTCCTTATCCCTTTTTTCTGTCCTGTTTCCACCCTCACTCTCTCACTCCCACTCTCCCATCCACTCTCCCACTTTTCTTTGCCTCTCTCTCTCTCCATTCCTTTTCGTCTTTATTTGTCCTTTTCCCCTCTCTTTTAAAAAAATTTTTTTTTTTGTACTACTATTTGACAGTTCTCTGTTACTAATTTAATTTACTGCTGCTATTGCCTATGAAACAGGCAAAAACATCAGCAAAAATAATTAGTAACCCCAACTGCTAAATAGTAGAGAGTGGACTAGCTCTTAGAACCTGGTCATTGCTCAGGTTCAAGTTTATAATTTTTTGCTAATCCTTAGATCTCAACATTACTAACTTTTAGGTCTTAACATTATTAGCTTTTATGATCTGGTTATTGCCCAATCAAGTTTTAAATTTTTTACTAATTTTTAGGTCTTAATAAAATTAGCTTTTAAATTATATTAACTCTTAGAACCCAGTTATTGACTAAGTTTAAGTTATTAATTTTTTACTAATTCTTAGATCTTAATATTATTTGCTTTTAAAACTGGTTGTTACCCAAATTTGAGTTTTAATTTTTTGCTAATTCTTAAGTTTCAATGATATTAACTCTCAGGCTTAAATTATATTAGCTTTTAGAATCTAGTTGTTATTAGGGTTTATGCTTCTAATTTTTGCTAATTTTTAGATTTTAACAATATTAGCTCTTAAAACCTGATCATTTCCTGGTTTTGAGTTTCTAATTTTTTATTAATTCTTAAGTATTAATAATATTAGCTTTTAAATTTAAATTAAATTAATTCTTAGAACTTGGCTATTACTGGGTTTAAGTTTCTAAATTCTTAGATTTCAATAATATTAGCTCTTAGGCTTATATTAATTAACTCTTAGAATCTAGTTATTGCTTAGGTTTAAATTTTTAAATTTTTGCTAATTCTTAGATTTTAATAATATTAGCTTTTAGGCTTAAATTATATTAACTTTTAGGACTTGGTTATTGCCTGGGTTGAGGTTTAATTTTTAATTTTTTAGTTTTTTAATATTTTTTTAAAAATTAATTTTTTTATTTTATTTATTTTATTTTATTTATTTTTATTTTATTTATTTTATTTTATTTTATTTTATTTTTTATTTTATTTATTTTTTATTTATTTTTATTTATTTTTTTATTTTTTTATTTTTTTAATTTATTATTTTTTTATTATTTTTTATTATTTTATTATTTTATATTTTTTTTTAATATTTTTTTTATTTTTTTATTTTTTATTTTTTTTATTTATTTTATTTATTTATTTATTTTATTTTTATATGTAAGTCACTGACCCCAATTTCAGATTACCGACCATTTTCATGAGAATTTGAATTCTCATAAGTCACATAACTTCATCACTTGGTTGGAGTTTCAAACTCTATTTTGGCAAAGTTTGAAACTTCTCCGATTTTGCAGGAATGTAAAATCCGAAGTTATGTAATTTTGGCATATGATCAGAGTTTTAATTCATCTCTCTTTCAATTTTATCTCTATTTCTCTTCTTTCTTTCACTCTCGCTCACTTTTCTCTCTCCCTCACTCCCCACCCCTCTCTCTCACTTTCTCCCGTCCCTGTCCCTTTCTTTCTTTTGCTTAATAATAATTTACTTTTTTATCATGACTCTCATCTCTACTATTAGCCTTTTTGTGTCACTAATTAAAGAAAGTGACAGTTTTAACTTTTTTTTAACAGAGGTACCTGCTTATGTGGGTACCTCTGTTAAAAAAAAGGCAAAATGTCAGCAAAATTAATTAGTGACACGGAATTGCCAAATAGTAGAGTGTCAACAACGTTGAGACATTAATTGATTGATATCATAAACACCATAGGTGCATTTTATATTAATTGAAAATAATTATATAAACAAATTTTTATTGTAAATATTTTTTTAAAAAAAAATTAGTAATTATTATAATTTTTTTTTTAATGTTAAAGGTGAGACCATGAATTATTATAATTTTATATTATACGTGCTTTTAATTTTATTAATATTATAGTAATAAATAATTAAATTTTTATTATATATATATTTAATTATTAAAATACACCTATAGTATTTAAATTGTATAATTTATTAATATATATTCTTTATAATTTAATTAAATTTTTTTTTAATAAATAGAATAAACAATAATTTTATAAAATAATAAAATCTAATACTGTACTAAATGAAGTTTCCACAAATTCTGAAATCCAAATCCCGACAGTACATAATCCTGACAGTATAATCCCAACGTCATACGTAATCTCAACTAAGATAAAATACCGGCAATTCAAGATCCCGACAGCTTAGAATCCAGATAATCAAAATCATAAATGGTAAAAATTCTGACTATCAAAAATCTGAAGGCTAAAATCCCGTCTAAGACAGGATCTCAGCAGTTTAAGGTCCTGAAATGGGATCGTCTAAAGCTGGGTAGTCATGTGACCTCAAGCCACAGAGGCGGTGGCTTATATTAACCACATCCAATAGAATTGTATGTTTTATGTCTAAAGCCGGGTAGTAAACTAAGCTAAGCCACAAAAAACCTGGGGTCATTTAAGGACATTAAACTGCTGGGACTCCGTCTTGATTGGGATTTTGACCTTCTGGATTTTTATAGCCAGAATTATTCAAAATTTTTATTATCTGGATTCTAATTTGCCGGTATTCTATATTATGGACGTCGGATAACGTACTGTACAAAATCAGAGTCTGGTACATTTCACAATTTTAAAACCTATAATAGACCGTGGATCTCAGAACTTATAATTTGAGGCCAATGACAGTTAGTCTGATTATTAATTTTTTTTTATTGTAGAACCGAGTTTTTTACATTTTACCAAAACTTTATTTCATAGACGCGCGTAAGTATATAATAGGTCTACTACCTAGAGGTCTTGCATATGACAGTTTGCGGTACTATAATTTCCTCCTCTTCTTTTATAAGCAGTCAATTAAACAAATAATATTTTATTTTATAAGATTACCAATAGTATAACAAAAAAAATATAATAAAATAAATTTCGCATAAATATTTAACCCGAGTTATTTCCAATTATATAAAATATATATATATGACAAGATAACTTCGCATAAACGTTTAACCTGAATTATTTCAATTTGCATAATTAACTATTTTTGATAACAATCGTGTTACATCTTCAGTACCGTAAATTACCGTGCAAGATACTCTGTATTGATGCAATTTTTACAACACTGTAATAGGAAAATGAAATCACGTGCATTTGCATCATATGACGTATACAGTAAATAATACCGATACAGTATTTTAAAAAAAAAATTAATCTATTTATTCGTAACTCCGAGTACCTTGCACGGTAATTTATGGGTAATCAAGGGAACTTACCATGGTTTTAATAAGTGAACACTAACCTTGAATTCATAAAAGCTTCCATTTATATAACTCTTTAATGCGTGTAACGAAATTATATGAAACCTGATTATTATAAATTCTTTTAATCATTCTATTTCTCGAATATCCAAAATTAGCGAATACCCCAAAATTGAGGAATTATTTCTCAAATACCAAAATTGAGGAATTTCAGGAACTTTTACGGTACCATTTTAGAAACTGCAGCACTCAAAAGTGGTAACTTTGCTTTCACAATGCACTTGTGTAGAATGCACTATCGTAAATTCAGGAGACATATCGTCCCAGTATTTCATTATAGATACGTACGTACATGTATTATTTGTTATTGGATTTAGATACGACAGAAAATACGTACGTACACGTACGAACGATAGGGGACATCTCCGTGAAATTCAGGTTGCTTAACATATGTAATGTACGTAGGAATAAGAGTATATGATCTACGGGATTTACTTATAATAGCGATAATGACAGCTTATGTGTACAACATACACAACATACATGCTTTATTAATTATTCTAAAATTTGCTTATGCAGATAAAATAAGTTATGTACACAGGTACAAACGGCCACAGGCATTGTACAAATGCCGGATATTTTTTTTTTTTTTAATATAGTCTTTACATTGTAATAATAAAACAAATAACAGCACAAATCAACTTATCTTTACGTATCAAACATACAAAAATGCAAATAAAAAATTGCATCATGAAAATAATGTAACTTTGTGTACCGAAATAGTAGATAGCTAAAAAAAACGGGTTACGGAAAATATTATTAACTATTTGGTAGATGATTTCCATTTTAAGAAAGCAGCCAAGATTTCGAACTTTCCGAAGTTTATTTCATTTTCTTGAGATTATGCATTACCTGTTGGACAAATTTATTACTTAAATTTTTTTTAATTATTATTCGAGAACACTTAATAACGAGTCAATTATTTTTAAAAAATTTGAAAATAATTTATTTATACAGTAACTAATTTACTGTAATAAATCGTTTATTCTTTTTTCAGATCACGGGAACTATTTAATCTTAGAATTAAAAAATATTTTGTCTCACACGTACTGCACCAATTATTCCAATTATCAAATATGCCATTGTACGTAATGTTATGATGACGACGTTTAGAAAATACGATTACATAACTTACATACATAATGTGAAAATTTTGGATAAATTATAATTAAAAATTAAAGTACTGTAGATGTAAACGTGAATCTGCTATTAAAAACCTTAATGTAAAAAAAAAGTAAAAATAGAAAATTAATTAAAATTTTAATTGATCGGCCGTTACTTTCTGCGACTGCAACTGCAACTGGGCGTATTTGGCGTATTTACAATCATCATTACTACAATCAGTAATAACGATTTTATTCTTTAGATTCGATATTACTACAATCAGTAATACCGATTTTTTTGTTTCGATTCATCATTTACTATATATGTATAAAGCATACAGTATATACTACATATATATATACATATACTGTATATACAGTATATTAATTTGTGAAATAGTTTTTGAAAGGATTATTATGAATAATATTAATTACAAATATAAAAATTAATAGGAAAAATTTTTTTTTTTACAATAAGCGAAAAGAAACTAATAAAAAATTTTTTTATAGTCTTTTTAATATGAGCTTAACTATTTCAATCTCTTGAGATAACTCGGTATCTTGACCATATATTTTCAAATAATCATCTGATAGTCTTTTTGTTTGTTCATCATTAACAGGCATATTAATCAGTACTTCATCATCACCAACCTTACAATTTGTTGAATCCATTACATTATTTATATTATTTGTATTAGTTTGATTAGTTTGATTAGTTTGATTATTTCTTGAACTACCTATTAAAGGATCAGAAGAAGTTGATGGATTTAAACTATGAGATATTAAATCTAATGAGGAATATTGAAAAGAATTTTTTAAATGTACAGGCTCAGGAAGAACTAAATGAATATCTTGATCATCATTTTGATTGTTAGGAGGTGTTATATCCTGCTTTAAATCGTTTTTTCCAAACAGAGCAGAAGAGGTATTGGGCTTATTTCCAGTAATTGAATTGACTGGTGATAAAAGTTCAAGTGACATTAATCGAGGTGAAATTTTTGGAACCGAGAAAAGTTTAATCAATAGCATATATCTTAACCATTCTAAAAGAGAAGGTTGTAAAACTGAATTATTATTATTATTATTATAATTAATATTATTATTATTATCATTAATAACTCTATTACTAATAGGACTATTATTATTATTATTGTTATTGTTATCATTATTGTTATTAATAACATTATTATTAATAATAATATTTTTATTGGTAATATCGTTATTAATAATATCGTCGTTGAAAATATCGTCATTGATAAGATCGTCATCGATATCGTTTTTATTAGTCTTATTGAAACTTAGAGCTTTTAATTCGACAAATTCACTGGATCTTCCTATCATACTTCCGATATCATCAATAATAGCTTTGTTGTAAGATCGATGAGGATAGAGTGACTCATAAGCGTTAACATTGGATATCCACCATTGTAGTTTAATAGCCTGATAAGCACGAGTAACAGCAATATCTTGGGAAAATACTAAAGCATTCAGTAATCCTAGAGTACAAAAGAATAAACGAAAAATTAATTAAATAATTAAATAATAAAATAATAAAATAATAAAATAATAAAATAATAATAATAATAATAATAATGAATATATATTACCTTGAAGTGACATGCCAATGTAGCAAAGTAAAAATATAGGATAATATACTACGCGATTAACATAAACGTAAGTTTCAACAAAAGAATTACAAAATTGAGCTATTAATGGTACCACAGGATACCACATGACTCTTCTGACAACAGAAAAAATCACAGTCTTATTAATTAAGGCAGGATAACCAGATAATTGAGTAGTCGGAAAAGAATCAAAAACATCGTCAACTTTTTTTGTCACATATCTGAGTTTTCTAATCACCATAATAACAACGATTGCACAATACAATATGGATACATCTATCCAACCAAAAAGAGTAACCCATTGCCATATTATGTTGTATTCTTGACCCGAATCACGATACCAACAACTCCTGTAATAAATATCGATAAATAAATATTAATAAATATGAATATCTAAGACAAACAATTATATAAATTTGATAAAATATGAAATAAAAAATATATATGCACACACATATATGTATATATAATAGTATACATACTCTTCGGGCTCATCAAAGCCATACATATTAGCGATTACAGGAAGAAGAGAAAGTAAAAGTGCAAATGAAAATGCCGTTATAAAATAATATTTTTCAAAATTATATCGACTTTTATATTCATTTATGAATATTATATGAAGGTTCTAAATTATATATTTTTTTTAAAAAAAAGAAAAAGAAAATGAGATATATGTTTAAAGGATACGTAAAAATATACTATAATACGTACCAAAGCTATACAAACGATAAAGAATAAGGAAGAGAGACCAAAGAATACAATTGCCCAAACCTTATATATAAAAAGATCAAAAAAAAAATGTTATTGAAAATCAAAAAAAAAAGAAGTTATTGAATATCGAAAAAAAACTAATGTATATCATACTGTGTATCCACAAAAAAAACCAGGTGTATTATTCCAACCCAAAATGACCAAAAGATGACCAGAATAGCCTATATCACAGAATAAGGCGGCAAAAGTTAAACGAAACGAAACTCGATCTGCGAGATTAGGATAGTACATTCGTATGAAGCCAAATGTCACGCATGAGGCAATAGAGGAAATGAGAGAGATTATATTCAGAGGAACACATGATTTAGATATAGAGATGAATTGTTCCTTTGTTACTGCAATGATAGAAACCATTAATCATAATGTGTTTTTTTTAGAGTGATAGAAGGATTTGACAAGGTGTCGATTTAATATATATATATCAATATGTATATCATTAAAAAAAAAAAAAAGGAGTGTTATATAAAAGGTCAACAATAAGGATTACAGAAATATAATTAACGGATAATTTACGGATAATTTTCTCATTAAGTTTATATATATACTATATAGATAGATGAATAATGCAAAGGCTTTATTTGCCCATACGTACTTAAACCAATAGTCAACTGTGATTTGTCCATTCAATAAAAATAATCCCTTGAACAAGATTTGATTTTTTTTATAGTAACTATAAAGATATATAAGTTATCTTTTATGGTAATATTTGCATCTCTTATCTATTCCTTTTAATACGTGCACTGCGTTGTACAGATTTGAATTACTGAAAATTTGGTTGCATATGTATGACAAGATGACAACATTTATACTTAGATTGGTTTGGTTTAGGATTTCAAATATCTCCGATCAATATATCGAGATCACGAAGATCATTAATTAATTTACTCTAACCATATGCGTACGTATCAATAAACGATAAAACTTTTGCTTTCTCTAACACCAATATACCATATTATTATGATTAATTCAGTAATTATTAATATTTCAAATATTTTTCAATTTTCAATTAAAATAATTTTAACTTTTAAACTAGCTCTAACGGTACAGTAATCCTGCAAGTAAAGCTGAAATGTGGTTTTAATATTCAGGTAGAGTTTAGTAGAGATGTATGCATGTATGTACGTATGTACAGTACGTACGTACGTACGTACGTACAAAATAAATATAAACTCCTATATGTAACAATCTACTAAGAAAGTTATCAAAAATTTGTATGATTAAGTTTATAAAATTCATCTTTCATAAATGATCTCTTAATATTTAATGTTAACGCTAATATTCATAGTAAGGTAAGGTTAGTCAATAAATTTTATTTATATACCATACATACTATCTTTATTCCTATATCTACACCATATATGTGCTGCCAAGAGAAAATGATCATTATTCGGACTTTTAAGTACGTATATTTAGGTTATAATATATTCGAAAGTTCGAATGATTTTTTCCCTTGGCAGCATTAATATATATCTGATACACGTTACCTATTTTCTATCTACTCAAAAAAAGAAATCGGAGAAACAAACAAGAAAAATAATTGCACGTGTAATACGAAAACATATCAGTTGATAATGTCACAAAACAATGATGCATGTTTTACAATATTAAACTAGGTTATTATTATTTAATAAACAATCCCGATAACATTGTATATAATGTTAATCTGTAATTTATTAATATTTAAAAACACCAATCACTTGAAATTTTTGAATCTTAAATATTATAAGAAAGTTTATGGAGTACGTACCTGTTTGGACTCTGATAATCTTGTTACACTAAATTTTTTGACCAGTGCAATAGAGGAAGTGGTATACTTTAAAGGGTTAGAAAAACGTCTAAATTTTCTAATTGTGTTTAATTGCATTAACCTTGGCATTACGGCTATCTTCAAATTCTGGTACAAGTGATTAAAATGTTTGTAACAATTATCGGTCAATCATAGGTTACCGATATCGAATCGGTCAAATGACAGTTACTTTCATAAATTACGAGGCATGTGATATTTCCGAATCTATAAGTTATCGAGTCGAAATTGATAAGTTACCGACATTGGCCGAAATCAAAAAACTTATCGATTCGGTCATTGACAATCCTAAAATTAGAAAAAACAGTCATAATTTTAATTATTTCAAAATTTATGTGGACAACTATAAAACAAGTTAGCATTGCTTCGTGACTAACATAATTCAGTTCAGAACTATGGAAAAGTTTTTATGCGGTTAAACATAGTGATGCGGTCCAGATAATAAATTGTGAAGAAGTTGAATATCCGGATATGCGTTGATTTTTAAATAGGAAAATGGTTAACAAATCGTATCTCTAATCAAGCGGTTCCAATTCTTGATGCTCCGTTTGATGTTTGTTACTGTACTTACAGCATGCCAACCTTTGTTAAAATGTGTACTAGTTAGCAGTTGTGTCGCAGATTATTCATCTACTAAAAATTCGACTGTTAACTTGATTATCCGATATGTCTGATGTAAACACCGATTGATTTACGTGTAACTTATTCGGTCACCTCATTCATTCATCTCGTAAGAGGAATTTTGTATGCAAATCGAAAATGTGTACCAGGTTGTGCTCCGGATGATCATGTGATTGTCCGGAAATCAATCCAAACGATCATTAATGATATCATAGATTAATTAAATAAACTATCCTCATATTTCGTTTATATTTCGCTTCATATTTTAACTTATATTTCGTTTCATACTTTGTTTTATATTTCGTTTCATACTTTGTTTTATATTTCGTTTCATACTTTCGTTTCATACTTTGCTTTATATTTTGTTTCATACTTTACTTTATATTTTCGCTCCATATCTCGCCTCACATTTCGCTTTATATTTCACTTCATATAAAAAACAACAACAACAATCATAATAATAATAATGATAATTATGATGCGAACAAATTTGTTTAACTCATCTGATTTACCTATACCACTTAAAAAAATACTTTTATCTAATAATTCTTATAAAATAAAAAATTATATTGAACTTGAGCCAATGGTTAAATCTGAAAAAATAAATATAGTATGGCTTAATATGGATTTATACGTGGATATTAACAGCTAAGAGGTGTCTTAATTGGCTAAGCGAATTTCAGGAAATATCAAAGATCACTATGTGGCTATGAAAAGCTGAATCTTTATCATCGGGCGGGCAAACTGGTGCTTATCTCTATCAACGAAATTCTGCTGTAAAAACCGAATCAATATGAAATGGAGCAAATATTCGAGTACAACCAGCATCAATCCAATGAAAAAAAAGCATTTCTCAAGAAAATGTTGACCCAACTATAATGAAAGCACGTAAAAAGAAAAACTTTAAAAAAAATGTATAATTTATCAAAGAATATTAAAACATGCAAACAAAATTGATAATAATAATAAACGTTCATAAATGTATACGTATCATTATGTGCTGTAATATTTATGCAAAGTATATAATTAATGAAATAAATATACAAATTAACCGTTTGCTAAACCAACCTTCAAAAATTTTCCGGACATTAATTCCGGACCATCACGTGATCATCCGGAGCGTAGCCCGTACACATTTCGGGTTGCATTTTGTATATTGTCAGAATAAGTTACACGGAATTCATTTAGTTGATCACCGCATATGACGTGACTGATAATGTAACATTAGTCGCTTTGTACCATGGTAGTTTTAGGAGAATATATAAAAAGAGATCAAAATAAATAAACATAATAAAAGTGGTGTCAGATATTACGTAATATCTTAAGGGGAGAGGGTGCACTGACATATTAAATTAAGACTATGCAATACCGATAAACTTTTTTCCCATGTATATACCTGATACTGTTATTATATCAATTATCGATACGTACTAAAAATGCTTTCATGTTAGGATTAAGGCTAGAAGTTAGGTGGTTATCTAGTAAAAATGATTAAAGAAACTTTTTTAGAGTACAAAATCTGTTACTTATGCGATTTTTTTTTACGCTGGGGTAGAGTTACAAATGTATCTAATAGAGAACCTCAATAAGCTCAGTGATACTTATTTGTTGAGATTCATTCGATCTTTCATTGACTCTATTTTTTCTCAATGGATGGCAAATTTGTTAATACTGACTGGGGGTTACTTTCTGGCTTTTAGAACGTTATAAAAACAGTTTTGATATAACCTTTTGTATACATAGAACTTATCCAAACAGATCTATACGTATACAAATCCATGTAATGGGTGAAATTAAATCAGGATACCATTTAGGCTATATCCAACCAGAGGCTAGTATTTATACACACCGTTTCACGGATCTTCTTTAGTATAGGTGGCACAATATAGAAATACAATAAGATTATAATATAAAAAAACTCCAACCCTAACCCTAACATAACTTTAATTTAAACTATAATCATCATCTAACTATTTATAAATTTGGTTAAATTAGTTCAAATAGTTATTTTATATATTATAATCTTATAATAATTCTATATTGTGCCACCTATACTAAAGATCAACCCGTTTTTCACTCTTCGCATTCCGTTCATACATGAAAGTACATATTATCATTATAAACAGAGAATATAATTATTGCAATAAATATAGTGCGAACATTAAAATTTAACCATTAAACTTATTAATTGTGGCAATTTAAACTAATCAATAATAAAAATAAAAAAATAATAAAAAAATACAAAAATAAGAAAATTATAAAGCCTTTAACAAACTGCAAATCATGAATATGGTAAGAAAGACGATTGTTAGAAGAATACAAAGATGTAAATCTTTTTTTTTAAAGTTGTTATTAATTGCCTATAACTTTTATTAAATATACAATATATCTAATTTAGATGGGTTATTTTAAAATTTTATACTATAAATTATATGAAGTCATTGCGGTAGAAAGGGCCAAAACTCTAAAATATAAAATTTGAGAAATTATGTTTGTTTTTTCATGCACATCACATGACCAAAAGGGAGCAGCAACACAATCTTCTCGCCACACAGTATCACATGGGTAATCACAAGCACTTTACCCTGCACATGAAAATCACAGGGCAGACGCAGTTTAAAGGGTGGGTGTGAGAAGATCAAACAGATAAGGGCAACAATGAATTAATACATGCTTGGCGCATAGAATCATGATTGAGAAACAGGTAAATTGAATATAAATATATAAGATAACAAATTCAAGTTGCTATGGCATTGAAAGAACAACAGTACAAAATTCTTGTTATCCACCCAACCCTCCCAGAAAA